GCATTGATCAACACTCCCAGGCCCATTTCTTCCAAGGCGCTGGTGTACAAAGTCGAGCAGACACATAAGAAGCCTGCTTATGAAAGCTTGATGATAAACATTAGAAGCAAAAACTTTATTTCTCTGAGAAATACCCCATGTGCTATATTCTCCCTTCTCTGTGTTGTTTTTTGTGTGTGTGTGTGTGTGTTTGTGACTTTGAAGGGTTTCTTTAACTGTCCTCCATCCAGTGTCCAGTTACAACTGAACTTGAAAGAGACCATATCCAGAAATTACAAGTAAATGGGTTACCTTAACTAATACCATATGACTGTATCTGAGATCGGGAATAAGGCAGAACATGGAGTTACCGGAACGTGTCTGCAGTCTGGGAAGAATCTCTGTTCATTCTGTGCAATTCTGAGCTGCAATAAGATTATCTCCTTAAAATACTACATGCCAGAACAGCTGCTGTAATTGTTCTTAGGCATATCAGACTCTGAACCAGCCAGCTCATAAGCAAGCAGCAATAACAGGCATAGGAGCACGAAGGGATAGTGATATACCCCAACACACTGCTACCACTAGCAAAGGTGATCGCTCTCTGGCTCTAAAGCCAAATAGGATTGCTTTTATGAAATACTTCTCTGCAGTCTGCATTACAAGAAACAACCTGCTGCACAAAGCAAGTCCTTCCTCTATAACCCACCGGCCGCTTATTCATTTACATTAAGATTTAACTTCATGTTTACCTGGTGGATGAAGCAGGCAATGATTGCAGCTGTGGTCAAACTGATCCGGGCTGTGTTGTCATGGTGACAGGCATTCAACCAGCCCCAGAATTTCCCTACAACTGCAGTCAGTCTCTCCTACTACAAAGAAAGGAAATGCAATTTTCAAAAACTTCTTTAGGAGAGGTTGCCAGTAGAGCATGGCGTTCTGTGCGCTGTGCCCCGGCCAGGGGATAACTGCAAAGATGGACCCGCACTGCCAAGCTCCCTGCAGCAGGCACTGAGCACCAGCTGCACCTTTCACCTGACAGAAAAGAACTGGAGTTATCCATAACTGCACGGCTGTGTTAGAGCCGGTCAGCAGCCAGATCACAGGATACTAATGGCATTTCTCTGCTATGAGATGTGGTTTTGCTACAAGATATGGTTTAGTAGATTAGTGGGTAGTAATGGTGATAGGAGGACGGTTGGACTAGATGATCTTGTAGGTCCTTTCCAACCTTGTGATTCTATGATTCTTTGAATCGATTTTTTTTTACGGTATTCTTTTTTTTTTAAATAAAGGACTCCATTCCGCTCCCATCTCATTGCTGCTTTGTAAATGTCTTCATGAAAGGATAAACTGTGGAGAATGTTTTTCTTTAAGTGCTTCTGAAGAACAGACTTTCCTATAGAAATAGCACAAAGACAATAAAAAACAATTGTCTTTGCTTTTAAAGCCTTGGCTGGTGCCGTGAGCAAGGCAGTGATAAAAAATACATGAGTGCTTTATTAGTTGAGGCACTGAACAAATGAGTTCAGAGACAGTCGATACACAGCTTCTCAGTTCTCATACATGACATTCGTTTTCATTAGTCGCTACGTCATTAAAAAATTAATTACTTGTATTTGTGTTCCAGCAACAATCTCCAGCTGAGGCTGGGGCTCACAGCGCTGTCGCTACAGGAACACAGCAAGGACAGAGCCTATCCCAAGGAGACGGCAGCACTTGAGCTCACCCACGGCTGTGAGCTCTTTCTGCCACGAGGCAACACGCTGCTTTATCCAATCTGAGGCACTTCCAGCAGTAATGAGGAAAAAATAATTGAATGCAGAATCCTAATCACTGGAAACGGTAATAGGGTGGGACAGCGTAAGGCCTGCTTGAGAAAAAATATGCAATTTGTTTGTTATTGTTGCTACTTCATCATTTTATAAAACACTTCCTCACTACTGCTAGCAAGTTGGTAGAATGCGTCTTAACTTCCCAGCCTATGGCTTCTGACCTGACTTCTCCCAGTGTAACACAGCAGAAAACACAAACGTGTGCTCAAACACCTCACAGCTTTTGTGCTTTTTTTTTTTTTAGTTTAACCTTTCACTGTGGTTTGCTTGTGACCTGTGCTGTCTGCCCTTGGGACCAGTCTGATCATGCACGTTCTCCCTTCCTTGTGCAGTCATTCCATGTGCTGACACCTCTACCTGGCTGCCCAGACTGCCCAAGTGAGAGAAGGCAGTTTGTGTAGAGGGCTGCAGGGCCCAAGGAATGGGGGCCAAGGCAGAAATGCAGCCTGTTATTTCCCCAGCTATACCCTACACAGCAGTCAAATCTCATGAAGAGTTGTCAGCTGGCACATCAACGGGTGTCTGTAGAAGAAGCCGCTCCTTTGCAGCCCCATTTGAGTTTCCATTTTTTCTCTCCTTCCTGGAAGCCATTCACCCTATGAACAGTACAAAATTTGATGGTTTAAAAGGTGTCTTTCAATTTCCCCCCCTGCTGTGCTTGATGAAGTTATTTATTACTTTTATGCTGCAACTCACCCTTACCATCTCACCCTGCTCATCCCTGTCAGGGGCTCAGCACCGTGCTGCAGCAAGCTGCTGTCACGTCTTTGTGGCTGCTGGTGATGGTCCTGAACCCAAGAAAAGTTCTGTCTTACTTTAGCTATGCTATAACAATTGCTATCATCCCATATGTTTTGTCAAAAAAATCCAAACCAAACCAAAAAAAAAAAAAAAAAAAAAAGTGAAGGTATAAAAAAAAGCAAACAAGTAGGGAAGTGAGTAAACATCCTAAGAAAGGATCAACTGAAGTAGGAACAAAGGAAAAGTGAAGGGAAAATTAAAAAAGAACTGAAGGATGACTTCCTTTTTAACGTAATGAAACTTCATCTCTCTTAATGCTTTAGTAGAGATTCAGACATCTGGCTGCATAAATACATGTAGTTCCAATGAAAGTAGGCATGCTAAATATGTTTCTTGAGGAGAAGAATATAATGACATTTTGGGGTGGGATGAGATTACTGACATTAATACATGGCAGTTCTTAGCCCAGCCCTCATTACTACACTTACTGATTCTGCATACCATGTTTCTTTCACCACTGAGTATTTTGCCCCTCATCCAGTTACAGAGGTTTCCTGTGTCCAGCTGTGCCAGCAGTGCATCCCTCTCCTCAGTGCCCTGTTGTCCTCTTCTCCCCTCCCTTACTCTCTTGTGCCTCTCCTCGTTCCGCAGTTCCCAGCTCTCACAATGATGCCATGTTTTCCTCCTGAAGCCTCAAAACCATACTTGGCCTCTTTTGCCCCTCCAGTTGCTGCTTCCTTTCCCTCTCATCTGTAAATCCACTCAGTGTACAGTTTCTGGAGCAACTCTCCTCACTCCTTTCCTTTCCTACTCACACACTGCCCCGCAGCAGCCCTTTTGAAGCACTCCTGGACTTTCCAGATACCCTTTGGGGTCACCATGCATCCTCAGGCTTCCTGTGCTGGCTGCAGCCAGCCCGGCTGTGGTCAGGGTGACTCTCCCTTCTGAAGCCATCCTTCCTTTGTTCCTATCCTATCTCTTCCTTGCAGAAGAGATTTTGTGTAGAGCATTTCTCATCTCCAAATCATTTACTATTGCATTTCGGAGTTGTCTCTTGTCCTCCTCTTATCTCCAGTATTCTCATCTGTAAGTTCAATTGTTTCTGTGTAGAATGATTATTGACCTACCCCTTTCTCACCTCCTATTCAATATCAAATCTCAGGCTGTATCTGCCTTCTCTTTATAATCTTCACCCACCAACACAAATTAAACATGGCTAAAATAACAAGAAGCATGGGATACCTCTTGCTACATCCAGCCTTCACTGATTAATTTCATGATTAACACCATTGCCTCCATCCAAGTTTCCCAGTCAATATCACCTCAAACCTCCTCAAAATCCTTATCTAACTTTTATTTTCCATTCAGCTTTTCCTATTCCAACCCACCTACAAATTCTCAGTTTCTCATGGGATTTCTGTGACGTCTCCCTCTGGTCTCCAGGAGCACACACACCCTTCCCATCCCGCCTCCACATTTTGTTTGGTCCTCTGCCCTCTCCATCTGCCTGTGCTGCCCACCCACGGGAGCTTTTGGCCATGCACATGACCTCTTCCTGGTGCCTTGCAGCTCAGTACAGAAGTCTGTAAAGTTACCCTCTCCCACCCTGAAGCTGCCTACAGGCATTTACTACTCTGTACACAAATTACAATCAATCTGGGCAGCAATCCTTGTCATGTTGTGTTTGTACAACACAACAGATTTCTGCACCTAGATTGAGATTTCCAGACACCGCTGCACACTGAAAGATTCTTAAATCAGGAGCCCTCCATCAGACCAGAGCTCCTCATTCCCTTTTCCACCTCTGTCCCTGCTGTAATGCCACAGGTGTACAACTGAGAACGTTCCAAGAACCCAGAAACTCAGATTTGCCAGCCAGCACATTGGCAGGACACCACTTGATCAATTTTGTATTTTGGTTATCACTCTGATCTTATGGCACCTGGAAAAAGGTTGGTGCATCACCACCTCTGCGTCATTTTAAACCTATTTCCTAAATGAGCTGTTTTACAAAAAAAACCCAAATATTTCACAGCAAAAAGGCAGAGTTCTCTTCCCTTCCCTCTGCCCTACTCAGATACGGAGAATCTCTTCCCGCACACAGCCGAGCACGGCTGTCCGGTCCCTGCTGCACCCCCAGAGAGGATGCTCCGGTGCGCAGCGCCGCAAACCCGCAGCGTCCTCTAACCCGCACTTCGCTGCCCTCATGCCTTGGTGGGAGCAGGGAAGAGACAGCGGGTAAAGCACACAGCCAGCCCTACACGCACCGCGAACCTAGGGTACAGACAGCCCTATGCACACCGTGTAACCGGGCACACGGGGCACACAGGGCGTACTGCCAGCCCCACGGCGGGGACACATCCAGCCCCACAGCTGGGACACATCCAGCCCCACACCCCGCACTCAGAAGCCCGGCTCAGGGCAGCCCCGCCCGGCCCCGCTCACCGGCTCTCCCCGCGCCCAGCTCTCTGCTACCGGGGTCGGCGCCGCCGGGCTCCGGCGGGCTCTCGGAGTCGGTGTTGGTCAGCCAGGTGGACTCGGTCTCCCGCGTCCAGCTCTCGTAGTAGCGAGGCTCGATGGCGTCGGCCCGGCTGCCCCCGCAGCCCATCGCGGCCGCCGCTCACAGCCGCCGCCCCGGCATCATCGCGTCGCTCCCTCCCCGCGGCGAGGCACGGCCCCGGGCTCAGTACGGACACGGCCACGATCACGGCACGGGCCGCTTTCGCTCCTCGTCTCCCACTCGCTCACTCTCTCCGCCCCATCGCCGCCCGGCGTGCTCTCCCCACTCCTCCCGCCTTTATCGACTCCCTCGGCCGGCCTCCCTCCCTCCCTCCGCTGTCCCCTCCCCTCCCTCAAGTCTCCCTCTCCCCTTTTCCCCTTCCCTTCCCCCCCACCCCCGGCTTCCCCGCTACACCTTGCCGTGTCCCCGTGCTCCTCCCTGGGCAGGCCGGTCCTTACACAGCAAGCTCGGTGCAGCGGTCCTCTTGGCCCGTTTCTGCAGATTGCTTTATGTACCCGTTTTACACACATCACAGAACCACAGAATCATAGTAGTTGGGAAGAACCGCTGGGGATCACCCAGCCAAACCCCTCAGCTCCCTGCAGCAGTCGCACAGGAAAACGTCCAGGTGGGCTTTGAGTATCTCCGAAGAAAGAAAGTCCAGAGCCTCTGTGTGCAGCCTGTGCTCTGTGTGCCAGTGCTCTGTTACTCTCTCAGCAATGAAGATCTTCCTCGTGTTTGTATGGAACTTCCCATCTTGTGGTGTCTGCCCATTCCCCCTTGTTCTGTCCATTTGATTCTTGCCCTCCGGACACTTACCAGGATTTACGTGATCCCCTCTCAGCCCTCCCTGCTCTGAGCAGCCCCAGGTTACAGCCTTTCCTCATACAGGAGGTGCTGCTCCAGGCCCCACATTATCTTTGTAGCTCTCTGCTGGGCTCTCTCTAGAGTCCTTGTTGAACTGAGGACCTCAGATGCTCCAGGCCCCCCATCATGCTTGTGTCTTGCACCCCTGTCTCGTACACCCACGTGCCCCTCCTATATTTCACTTCTGGCTTTTGCAGCGCACTTTTTGCTGCTGTTAAATGGGGAACTGAAGGCACGATAATCAGTGCTTGACTCCAGGCAAATGTATGACCCTCCTCCCTGGACGCACTTTGGGAGGCAGCCAGGCATGAGAAGTGCTGCTGATGGGATTCCTGCAAAGCAGAATACAGCTTGGGCCAGTCAGCCATCCCAGTGAGACACGGGGTTGGATGCTGTCACACAGATGGCGCATGCCCTTCAGGCACTGCAGGACTGGACCTTGGGGGGGGAACTTCATCCAAAATGAACGTTTCTCCCATTCTGTAGTAGAGTGGCAGGCATGGCCGCCTTGCTCCAAGCACCTCATGGAGTGGCACAGAAGCTGTGCACAGCTGGAGCAAAGCTGCAGGAGCACAAGCTCTCCAGAGCGGAATGCCATTAGTACCAGAGTGTGCTGCAGGGCCCTCAGCAGGCCTTGGCTTCCTGCCCCCACCACAGGGCCCACTCGGGCTCAGGATGGACTCGGGGCACAGAGGGCTCTGATGTTGCTGATCAGCCCTGTGGCTCTGGAAGCTGATGGCTCCTCAGGTGTTCAGCTCACACCGCCATTTTGTAGCGACTTCCAGAGAGCACCCACTGCCACAGAATCCCTGAGAGGTTTTTGGTGTGTTTTGCTGAGCTTTGCTTTAACTTAAACATTGGGAAGACTCTTACTCAGCCTGTCTGAGTGCTCACATCCCTTTGCATCGCTTTGGTTTAGGTTCTGTCTGTACTCATATGAACTACATCTTCAGACATGACTTATCTAACACAGCCTCCAAAGCATTTATAAGCAAGAGAACAACACAGAGCTCATTCTTCTGTTTTGTTACTACTATTACCACTAGAGAGCAATGAGCCTATAAAGTAAAGAGGTTCTCTAGCCCTTATACCAAACCACGGTCACTTTTGCAGAGCCCTGTAAAAGATTCACGGGAGCACATTGCCTTCCTGTTCCTGAGCTAATGAAAGCAAGAAAGTGCAAAGATCACTGTGCTCACATCCAAATGCCTGAGGCCATTTCTGGTGGGTTTATTAAATCACTCAGATGACAGGCTGGATAATTTTCATGTCAAATATTAAGGCTTGAAAGATGAATTTTAAAAACATCCTTCAAAATAAAAACGTGTAAATAATGAAAAAAAATATATATATATTTATTAAAGCTTAGTAAGTAAACTGATGGATTTCATTTTCACCAGTTGCCATGTGGCTGTTCACTTTTGCTCCAAACCTGAGCTGAGGGCAAACCCCAAGATACGCTGCTTGTGTGAATGGGCCCCTGGCCATAAAGCACAATGAGCTATCAGAGCTAAATGCACTTTCCTGCACTCTGGATGACATGAAAACCTAGTGGTAGTTTCAATACAGCAATATAACAAGAATATTCAGTTGAAAATATTAGCTGTTGCTTGCATTTAGAATCATATCGAGAGAGCATGGAACAGAAATCTGCCCTCAGAATCAGAAGAACTTGCCACATCCAACCAACCCTAGGCATGAGCCACCTGCGCAGCGCTGCAGGAGAGGCTGCTGCTGGCCACACAAAGTCTGCAGCAATGGCACTAGGAGAAACCTTACGACTTTTTGTTTTCCTTCAGCACCTGAAGTGCTTCAGCCTAGCAGGAGTGAGATTGAGAATGCAATTTTTTTGTCTCATTTAATTTGTCACGCTGTTACCATCATGCCAGGAGCTTAGCAATGAAGTAAAATGTGATCTCTGTCTATTAATCATTAGTACGAGTATGGTCTCACATAAATCCTATTAACAGAGTTTGTGCTGTGCCGTAGCTGTTCTGGTTTCATGCTGCCTGGTGTATGACACGCAGCAAGTGTGTTTCTAATAGCTGCCAGTAACACCCTCTCTCTGTATGTGGCTGTTCCATGGTACTGGGAGAAAAGCTGGAGAATAGGCAGGGGATGAACAAGGGGAGGGTCGGCTTTACAATTGCAATTTTTCAAAATAGATTTTAAATAATTTGATTTTATACTTCTCCTCATAAAATGCAGGCAGATGTGGTAGAACCAATTATTACTTTCCCCTCACAACATTACAGGGTCAAGTTAACGGACCTGTACCCCAAGGGCTTTGCTAGCTTTTGGATGTTCTTTGCATGCTTTGTTCAAAGCAATGGGAGGTTTAGGCAAAAGATGTCCTACCTGTCTTCAGCTTTTAGGTGGTATCTGAGCTTGCTGTATTAGATGATGTTGTACATCATCTGATGCACACCAGGTGAATCCCTTTCTAGATCTCAGATTTTTTCATAAACCTGTTCCCTTTCTGCAGAAAAGCAGACAGAAGCTCAGGTTTACTTGCTTACCTTGCAGTTCAAGGCCAAGGTTAGGTTGGAAAGGGCCATTTGTCTCCTAATTTGCAGGTGTGCAGAGTATCCTAAGCACCATTGCGTTCCTGATAGATGCAGCAGTCTGTTAATGACTCGTGCAGCCTCATGCATAGTAGAGTTCTCCCCTCAGAGAGCCAAAATAGCACAGAAAGGAGGAGGAGGGTGTTTAAGATCCTTGGTTCAACCAACAGCAGTGACTGCCAGCTATCAGCTCAGGTTATGTCCTGCTGCACGTCTGAAACCAGGTGCCACCTCTTGTCCTGATGTCATTTGTGCAGCCCTTATGGATTTCAGTACTATATTCTACTTCTTCTCAACATCTTCTGGACTAAGTCACCAGCATCCCACAGACATGGGCAACTGAGGAGTTGCTCACTGTGGCATCTGCAGGAAGATGGGCTGGGCTGGGCTGTCCCTTTCTGCATGAGTGTAATTAAATCCAGGGCAGCCTTTGCGTCATCAGGATGTCACATAGCAGCACTATGGTTCCAGAACCTGATTGCTCTCAAGTCAGCCTATAGACATACAGACACAAGAATCCAGTATTGCTTAGTGTTACAAATGTTCTGTATATGCATTCCATATGTTTAAGATATGTACATTGTTTCATGTAACTACAACTGGACACTTTTTCTTTTTAGACAGGTATTTTGTGCACCTGAGGAGAAATTAATTATCTGTTTTGTGGCTGTTGGACTTCATCACTCTAAGCTTGCAATATGCCTGGAAGCAAGCTTACTTCTGAAGTTTTCACACTATATCCATGAGTCAGCTTTTCTCCTAACAGGCAGGCATTTACCTCAAGGAAATGATCTTTACTGTAATGAATTCTTGTAAAATACTATTTTCTTGGCTTGATTATTCAAATATTTCTCTAAAAAAAATTCCAAATGGGTACCATATGATTTCCACAATACTGTGCATTTGTTATGCTCATCTTCTGAAAAGGAAACAATGGCATTCATTTATCTTATGTGGCCATTCAAGAAAGTTGCCAATTTACTATTTAAGAATTACTGAAAATGAGATGGGGGGATGTCTCCAAACAGCCCACAATCAGAAAAAGGTTAATTATCCCATCCTTCCATTTCTCTTTATGTTTTATGTTTAAGAATGAATCCAAAATCCCAAAGCCCAAATAACAAAAGATTTCAGATTTGTACACCTGAGCCTGACAATTTAATTTCAAATTAGATCGAACCCCCCAGAAGAACAGCTATTCCCAGTTGTGAATGACTGCGATCCAGCAGTACCTAGATTTCCTGTGATGATGAACTGAAAATTTCAGTCACCTGAACTTTCCAAAGGGAAGTCTTTGGCTACGCTTTGTCCCTGCCCTGCACATCACCTGCTCTGCTGCAGCTCAGCCTTCCTGCCAAGCCCCTGTGAGAGACTGTCCAGCATGCTGTGTGCAGACCAAACTTCGACATCAGTATGCGGAAAGTTAAAATTTTACTTTCACCTCTAACTTCTGAAAAGTCAGGATTTTAAACATGTTAGAGTTTCCTTGACTGTGGAAATAAGGTATGGTACCTTTGCCTTTGGAAGGTGGCATCACCCTGTGCTGCGTGAACTCAGTCCTCTGGCATTCCAGCATGGCAGGTGGGTGGAAACGGCTTAGCAGAGCAGAGATGTGTGGCATGGTGATGATAGAAATGGGGTTTTGAGAAAAATAGGATGCAAAATATCAAGGATGTAAAGAAACTGCCTCAAGTTGGGCCATGGAAAGTTTAGATTGGATAGCAGGAAGAAATTCTTCACTGAGCTCGCAGACAAGCACTGGGATAGGCTGCCCATGTTGGCGGTGGAGTCCCCATCTCTGGAGGCATTTAAGAGACACACTGACATGTACCTTAGTGACTTGGTTTAGAGGTGGACTTGGTA